CAACCCACACAGCTCCCCCCGAGGGCAGAAAACCCCCCCAAAACACACAGCCAGGGCGCAGGGTTCCTCCAAACCTACCCAATGGGTGACTGGAGGGGACCAAAACACCCTGTGCCTGTAAATGTGTGAGGAGGGACCAAGAGCCAGGGACACATCCCCAATCCCTGACAGACCCCAGGAATAAAGGACCCCCCTGCCACCACCCAGAGATCTCCCAGAGACCCTCTCAACATCCATGGAATCCTGTCCCAGAACACACAGACCCACCCCAGCCAAGGCACACCCTCCTAGACTCCCCCTCAGCTCCCATCACACACACCCAACAAACCACTCAGCCTCATGCAGGCACCCAAAGACCTTCCTGGACCTCCCCAGTCCCCCGAGACAAGCCCAGCACCCACAGACCCCCATGTAGCACCCAGAGAATCCCCTCCTCCAATGCCCATGGAAACCTTCTCAGCACCCATGAGATCCCCCTCAGCCCCCTGCCCACCCCCCTAAGTCCCCTGGATACCCCCGCAGCACCCATAAACCCCTCCAGCCCCTCTGTGAGCCCCTCCACCACGCTCGGGCCCCCCGAGCCCTGCCTCCTGCAGCGCCGGCAGGGCCATGCGGCAACCGGCCCCGCGGCTGAAGCGCAGGCAGAGCTCCGGCACCTGCGGCAGGGAGGGCACGGGGAAGGGGGCACATGGGGCAGCGGGGTCACAGGGAGTGCGGGGACAGCGGGACAACATGGAGGGGATGTGGGGGCACTGGGGACATCACAGGCTGGGGCCACTACCATGGTGACACCCTGGAGATGTGGGGACACTGCCCTGGGGACATCCCAGGGAGCTGGGGACACCCTTGTTGTCACCCTGGAGACACTTTGAGGACACCCCAGGGACAGGAACACCTGGGGATACACTGGGGAGTGGCGATGTAGGAACATGATGATGGGGACACCCTGGGATCTCCCAGGTGGGAGGCAGGGGGGAAGCACCACTCTAGGAACATTTTGGGAACACCCCTCGGCCATGGGAACATGGGGATGCTCTCCTGGGGACACCTCGATGAGACAGGAGGGACTGTGCCAGCATGGCAGGAGGGGCACAGGGAACACCCAATCCATGCAGCCTCTGAAGGACACAAGGATGTCTGGAGCCGCAGAAGGACTTTGGGGGATATGCAACGTTGTTGGGGGAGGATGGGCCCACCATGTCACAAGGATGGGGAGGACAAGGACATGAGGAGGGCTTGAACAGGGTTGAGGGGGGCCCTGGGGGAAGGGGGGGGGGTCCTGAGTAGTCCCAGGGGGTGATCTGGGGTTCTGGGTGGTAACTTGGTGGGTCTGTAAGGGGATGGAGCGTCCCAATGGGTTTTTGGGATGGGGTCTAAGGGGAGGTTGGAGGGTTCCAGGCGGGACTTCATGGGGCCCAGAGTGGATTTGGGGTTGGATTTTAAGGGGTCCTAGGGATTGTTTGAAGGGTCTCAGTGGGTATTTGGGAGAGTCCTATGGGGAGCTGAAGGGTCCCAGGGTGGATTTGAAGGCTCTGGGGGAGGTTGCAGGGTCCAAGAGGGTTGATCTGGGGTGTCCTGGGATGGATTTGGGGATCCCAGGAAAGGGGAGTGGTTTGGAAGATTCTAGACAATATTGGTGCTGCTCTGCTACCTGCGGATCTCCTGCAATGCCTGCTGACCTGGGCGGTGCCCTGCGGGGCACTGGATAGGGGTCTGTGGGGGCTTTAGGGGATCTCTTTGGCCTTGGGGGGGGCACAAACAGGGGGCTCTGAAGGAACATGTGGGGTGTAGGAGATCTATAGGGCCTGGCAGAATACAGGGGGCTACAGGGGATCTATGGGGGCCTATAGGGGCTGGGGTGACAGGGGGAAGCTGTGGGGGTTATAAGGGATCTGTAAGGTCTGGGGGGACATTGTGGGTATGAGGGATCTATAGGGAACTACAGTGATGGCCAATATAGGGGAGTTATAGGGGACAGGGAGTATGGGGGCTTATGAGGAACAGGGTGTAGGGGGCTGTAGCTGTTCAGTTGTATCTGAACAACCTAGGCCTCAGTGTGCTCCAGCCATGCCGCCTGTAACTGTTCTTATCAGAGTTTTCTCAGAGCACTGTGGAATTCATCAAGGTTACTAAGACATAAACTGTGCTAAAATACAAAGAAGCTGAGAAAACTGGGATGATAATGGGAGCATACTGGGATGACAAGAACTGGATAACAGGACCGTAGAACACCTGCACGGTGACCGATCACGGATGCTGAGAAATGGAGGCAGAGAACGAGAGAATAAGACAGCGGCACCAGTCAAGAAGTGTTATCTTAGTAGTTTGTAGAATCTATAAAAGTGTGTGTAATATAAACAATAAACGGCTTCTGTTTGATCACATTAGTTAGTTGTTCAGGAGACCTGGTTTACCTGCAATAGGGGGCTATAGGGGAGGGGAGTGTGGGACGACTATAGGTGATGGAAGCATATAGGGTATATAGGGCACAGGCTGGGGGCGGAGGACAACAATGGGGGGCGTCCATGGCAGGTGTCTACAAGGGGAGTCCCCCGCCCCTCACTCACTGCGTGCCCGCGGCCGGGCCGTGGGGAGGCTGCGGGACCGCCGCGCCGTCGGGGGGTGGGTTTGGGGAGGGGCATGGTGTGGCCGAGTCCACCGCAGGGTCAGGCCGAGTCCAGGCGGCCGGCACGGCTGGAGGGACCCGGCCGCCGGGGCAGGGGAGTCAGGCCCGACTCCGGCGTATGGGCCCCCCGCGCCACTTCCGGGTTCCCCCAAGCCCCATCCCCCGCCAGTGACGTCAAGCCCAGGATCCGCCGCGCCGCGCTGTTCAAATCTCCCGCCGCAGCTGCGCTGCTCGTGACGTCACTTCCCTCTGCACGCCAATCGGGGCGCGCGACCGCTCTGCGCCGCCGGACTCCGCCACTCGATGGTGCCGCAGCGGCAGAGGGCTCATTAACATAAATCTGCATGACCCCGCCCCGGGCACCCTGTGCCTGGGTGCTCCCAGGGTAGGCTCAGTTATCGTCCCAATGTGATCCCAGTACGGGCTCTGTAATCGTCCTAGTGTGATCCCGGTCACTCCCAGTGCGGTTCCCATTGCTCCCGGTCTGCATGGTTCCAGTTACTCCCAGAATGATCCCACTATGATTCCAGTCCCCTGCAATATGATTCTAGTGCTTCCCAGTCACTCCCAGTGTGAGTCCAGTTGTTGCGGTTCGTTTTGAGGTGGGGGCACCCCGTGGATGTCCCCGGAGGGCCCCCTAGGCTGTGAGCTGGCTGGCAGCAGCAGGCAGGCAAGGAGACTCCACACGGCTTCTGAGGGTGCTGATTAAATGGGGGTTTATGCGGGGTCCCACCCCCGGGAGCAGCACGGTTACTGAGGGGGAAGGGGAAAGGGGGAGGGAGGGGGAGAGAGGGGCCAGGAGAGAGCCTGGTCTCTCTCGCACAGTTTAACAGGGAGATTCAAAGCGGGTGTGGAATAAGATTTGGGGCAATGGGATTACAGATACACGATACTTCAGGGGAGGATCCCACAGCTTGGAATAAACCGTACATTTTCGGGGGGTGAGACAGAGCACACCATTTAACTAAAATGTAATACCACATGCAGTATGATCACAACGACTTCCAGTATAACCCCTGTCACACCCCCAATGTGGGACCATGTCAATTTCTGTCCCTGCTAGAATGATCCCACTATAATCCCAGTCACTCCCAGTATGATACCAGTTGCCCCCCTGTGTGGTTCCAGACACTCCCAGTACGATCCCAGCATGGTTCCAGTTGTCCCCTCCTGTATGATCCTAGTTGCCCCAGCTGTGGTTCCAGTACCCCCAATGTGATTACAGCATCTTCCATTTGCTCCCAGTGTGTCTTCAGTTGGCTCCCAACATGGTCCCAGTAACTCCCTGTGCCTCCCAGTACCCAGTGAGGGTCAGTCAAGGATTACAACGACCCTTGAAATCCACTGGCAGAAGCAGATTGGGGTGTTGGTGAACCCATGGTGGCCCAGGTGGGCTTTGGGGTCTCTTGAGGGCATTGCCTCACAGACCTCCCAGTTTACCTCCAGTTTTCCCAGTGGGCCACCACACTCCTCATTTGACCCATCAAGCCTCCCAGTTGCCCCTAGCTGTCCACCCAGGCCAGATGTTGAACAGGACCAGCCCCAACACTGAGCCCTGGGGAACCCAGCAGTGCCCAGCCCCCGCTGGCTGTGGCCCCATTCCCACCCCTCCTCGGTCTGACCACCAGCCAGGTGTTCCCAGCGAAAGGCACTTGTCCCAGCCATGAGCTGCAGGTGCTCCAGGAGAGGCAGGGAGAGAGAGGCAGGGCCAAAGGCTTTGCTGAGCTCAGACACACCCACACATGTCCAACAGCCATCAAGGCCACCTGGACACAGAGATCAGGTGAGTCAGGCAGTACCTGCCTTCCCCAAGCCCTGGCTGTACCCAATGCCCTGGTTTTCCAGTCTGTGCCATGGGTTCCCCCCAGGGAATCTGTTCCAGGACTGTCTCAGTACAAAGGCCTGGAGGTTGCTGGATCCTTCTGGCTCTGGTCTCAGTGGCTCCCAGTCACCTCCAGCATGGTTCCAGTCATTCCCTGTATGATCCTAATCACTCCCACTATGATAATGGTATGATCCCAGCACGCTCCCAGTTGCTCCCATTCACCCCCCAGATTCCCCTTTCTCCCTGTCACTTTCCAGCAGGTTCCTAGTTGTTCCCTCGATGATCCTAGTTACCCCAGCTGTGATCCCAGTTGCTCCCAGCATGGTCCCAGTAGCTCCAAGTACCTCCCCTTGGCCAGTGGGGGTCAGTTGAGAATTGCAGCTGTCCATAAAATCCATCTGGGGGAAAAGGACACACAGGTGATGTGGGGGAATATGGAGGGACATGGAGGCATTGTCCTGCTGTCACCAAAACTGCAGGAAAAACAAAAACTCTCCAGCATAATTTCTAGTTTAAGAGAATTAAGGCATTACTTTATTCTGGCCAGGATGTTGTTCTGGCCAGAATGTGCAATAGAGATAATTTCATCCACACATTGCCTGTGTTGTGCAGAGAAAATAATTCCATCACACATGGTTCTTTACTAGATTTTTCACACACTTACACAGTCAAAACCCAGAAAAATTAATTGGTTCAATGTTCATGGGCCAAAGTTACACAATTCTTTGTATCTGGTTTCCTATTGGTTATTGATCCCTTTGCCTTCAATGCTAATTAGGTCCTTATTCTTCATTCTCTTGTTGATATTTTCTCAGACCAAGTGTCTCTGACACACCAGGAAGGATGTTTGGGTGTTGATGGTCACTTCTCTCTTGAGCATCCTCTGGCAACTCCCAGTTCTTTGAGATGTCAAGCACGTCAGGCCTTGCCCAGGGAACAGAGTCTCTTGAAAATAAATTTCCATTCCCTTCCTCCTGGGAAGACTAATAAAACCCCTGACTAAAGTTAGTTAAAAATTTTAGGAGTTGCATCATTTCTAACACTGCCCCTCCCCATGGATACAGTGCCCTCATTGCCACCCTGTGTCCCCATGTCCCCCCCTCACATACACCATGCCCCCAGGGTCCCTTATGTGTCCCTCATATCCCACCTGTCTCCCCATGTATCCCACAATGTCCTCGTGTCTCCCATGTGTCGCCAATGTTCCCCATGTGTCCCCCATGTTCCCACGCTCTCCCCCATACCACAATGTCTGTGCCCTGTGGCAGGAGGTGCCTGGACTCTTCCTGCCCAGCTGGGACATCACTCTAGTGGCACTGTGTTCCTCTGGGAGACAAACAATAGAGAGGGGAAAGACCCTGAATTCAGAGGGGGACCCCAAAAGTGCGGCAAACAGGATGGGGAAAGAGCATCCTTCCTCCACTTCATTTTTGGGACCCTGTCAATGGGATGGGATGTGGTATTCACATGCCCTCTGAATGGAGAGAAGCAGAGAAAAGAATGATCAAAACAATTCTTATATCATTTGCTGCTCCTGTGTTTTTGAACATGTGGAATGTGCCGGAAGATTGTTTACCCAAGGTGATTGCTTGATTGGATTTTGGTGGTGTTTTGATTCATTGACCAATTGGATCCATGTGTGGGTGTCGGGACTGTTGGCAGAAAGTCACGAGTTTTTCAGTAGGTAGTAGTTAGTTAGAAGTAAGTATGATATAGTATAGTATGCATCTCTTTCATATAGTATAATGTGATATAATATGATTTTAATAAAGCAAGTGTTCAGCCTTCTGAATCAATGGAATCAGATGCCAATCATTCCCAGGCATCGGGGGTCCTGACTTTACAATACAGGGGACACTATACCCCTTCATGAAATGAGTCCCCATCCAGGGATCTGGGCCCCTCCATATGGGAATCCCCATTAATGGCCTTGAGACCTTCACATGTAACTGATTTGCCTTCCTGGAACTGAGACCTTCCCCATGTGATTGGGACACACAACCCCTCCTCCCATGGGATTGAGGGACACATCATTGGACTGGACACCCCCCTTCCCATAAGACTGAGACACTCCTGTAAGTGGGACATCCCCCCCATGTAACTGGGCACAGAGCTCCATCATCAGCCCTTGCTCCCCCCTCACCAGGGACCCCCAGGGCCCCTCTGGAGTTGACAGTGGCACTAAGCAAGGTGGTAATGAAGCTCACCTGTGTGGGCAGGGGGCCACAGGGAGGCCAAGGCACGATTTGGGGCAGCTTCAGGGCCAGGGTCCAAAGAGGGACCCCAGCTCTGGGAATCTGCTGACAGAGGAATGGAGAAGAATGCATTGGCAATGTCTATGGCAGCACCATTTTGCTGCTTTGGACTCCAGCACATACTGAATTCCAACATGTCCAGCAGGCAGCACTCAGTCATGGTGTGACTTCATTCAGGCCATGACAGTCCACTGTCAGTGTCCACTCTCCATGGGACTTAGGCAGGCGCCACGTGGAGCTACTGAGGGCTGAGCGACTCTTGCTGAGCATGCCCAGCCCTCCAGTTCACGGATCAGCTCATGGACAGGGTCCTGAAGTCCCAGTCGGTGCCATATTGCCAACGGGACACTGGCCATCAGTACCTGCTGTTCTTCAAGTACCTCAGCAGTCCCACAGCAGAAGGGTCCTCTGAAAGACCAAGCAAGGGATTCAGTTGTCTGAATTTCTTCTGTCTCCACAGCAGCTCTCCCAAAGCTCAATAGTGTCCTTTTGGGTCCTTGAAATACCTCTCCTGAGGTGATCTGGGCCAAGGATACACAGAGCCTCTAGGCCAGTGACAATGGTAGTTTTCTGCCACTCATGCCCAGTCAGGAGCACTTCAGCTTCCAGTATAGTCCCTGTTGGGATGCCCCTGTCATCCCAGAAACAGAGATGGATTCTGCCCCTGCATGATGGCATCAGGGTACATTCTGCTCCTGTGGCTCTGCTGTGCCAGGCCATGGAACCACACAGTCCAACAGACCCCACTGTCCTTTTCCCACATCCGGCTGGAGCCAGGGCCCCTCTATCTCTGATCATGGTACTCATTGCTCGCTTCTTGTAAGACCTGGAGGCCCTCCCCTTCCAAAGGGTCAGAAGTAACATCAGCCCTTCAGTTCTGCCTGAGGACTTGCCCAGTGGAAACTGAGTGGCATTTTTCCTTGAAGAGTTTTCTGTGGTGGTTAATTTTTCCTATCAACTCACATACCTGTGCTGCCAAGGCAGAGGTGGGTTTTCCATCCCACTTTCGTATGTCTTCACCATGGTCACACAGGTAAAACCACAGGTTACTTTGTGTTGTGCCTCTCTCTCTTGAGCAGGGGGCACTTGTTCCCTATAGACTCTGGTCTGTACTAGTGAGGCATGGATTATTTCTTTCAGTTGCTGGAGGCCTTTTCCACAGATGAGATACAGGCCCATAGGGTGAAAAACATACTTTCTTCATATTGCCAGAGTCTGGTAACCAAATTATTCACTCTTTGTTCTCCTTTCCATGACATGCCTGCCAATAAGTTGGTGTATGGTGATGGCACCTCTGTAGGAACTTGCACCGCATGGTTTGTGTACACTGAACCTCATCGGGATCTACAGGGGACTGTAGTTCTGGACACTATCTTGTGCCATGTGCCTCAGGATGATCCTGCCTGAGCAGGAGAGTTGGACCAGATGATTCACTGGTCCCTTCCAACCAAACTGATTTTGTGATTCTGTGAAAGCAGGAGCAACTCACAAGTGATGATGGCATATAGACAATTGGGGGAAAGAAAGTTCTGCCAGTTACAGAGAGGAATGACAGCACAGGGAGCAGGACAGAGGGATACAGAGAGGGGAGATGGCACAGGGATGAATGATAGCACAGTGTTACTCTATATTACCTGGTTTGTGAGACAAACCAACCAGCCCCTGGTGTGACTGACAGGAGCCTCGCCCAGTCACATCTCTCTTAGGGCTGCAGGCATTTCACTGGCCAGGACCTGAAGGGGCATAGAGTTCTGACCTATGAAAGTATACAGACCGAGTTTTGCAAATGCCCTTTATAAGCAAGGCCTTGGGAAATAAAAGCTCTCTGTTGCCACATGAACATTGGGGTTGTGGTCTTTGTCTCCTGCCAATTTCCTCCCCCGTCTGACACTCACAGCACAGGGAGCAGGACAGAGCATCAGAGAATAAAGCAGGAAGAGGTGCATGAGATAAACCAGGAGGAAGGCAGGGAGAAGGTTCTCCACTGGACTCCATAAAATTACGTCACAGAACCGATCTGCCTGCCTTCCATGACAGGACAGTTCCTGGATGGACGAGGGAGTGAAGTGGGTCCAGGCTCCCTTGGCAGCCCTTCAGATGGACTCAGCAGGTGGGAGAGGTGGGCAGGGCGGAACCTCACCTGTCCTGCCACATCCCACAGGGCTGAGAGACAAAAAACCAGCTGAGAGCAATGCAACACTCACTGTTCTGTTTCCTTCAAACTCAAACCTGGAGAGAACTCCATCCATCCCTTCAGGGACACGAATTAGGGTTCACCTACCAAACCCCAAACATTCTGACGTGAGGAGACTGTGCCAGGACATTTTCTTGGTTGATCTCCAGAGGCCCTTCCAACCCCAACTATTATTTCACTGCCCAAAACACAGGCAAGAGCCTCAGCAACCACATTTTGGGTAGTCTTCCTCAGCTTCTAAAATTTCCTGATCCTTTTCCTTTGCCATTTCAGAATCCTCACTTAAAGAAAAATTAGATGTCAAGACCTGCTGGATGTCCCCAAATTCCCTCCCCAAACCCTGCAGCAGCAGGGAGACCCCGCCATGTCTGAGTGAAAATATTTTATTTTTCATAAAAAACATATGAAAAATGCTGATTTTATCTCTAAACCATTTAGGTCTTGCCTGCCACACCTCATATCATTCCAGAACAGGGGATTTATAAACCTTAAAATCCTTGAGAAAAATAACATTCACAGTTTAATTTAGTTTTGGTGCAGTCAAGACTCTGGTCATGTGGGATTTGGTGATGTTCACTGGGAATAGCCCAACAAAGGAAAATTATGAACAAGGGAAGGGCAAATTCCGCACAAGTTAAAGTCTTGAGAGCAAAGTATCTGCCTTGCAGATGTGCTGCAAGGGAGATTAGTAAGTAGCATCATCCTAATCTCTTTATTTATAAAGGGTGAAACACTGACCTCTTGTGTAACAGAGCCCAGACAAATTATGGAAAGTAAAATATTTTAAAGCAGCAAATCCATGTTCCAGAGAATTCCCTGACACAGGTGTAAATCAACAATTTATTCTTAAATTCACTTTCCGGTTCAACCAAACCCACCTAATATCCCGTTTGAGTTCACCTGACACCAGCTAGAGCTTGGGAAATGTTTCTTGCTCTGCTGATGTCTCCTTTGGCCCCCAGGGCCCTTTCACTGCTGTTATCCTTCCTCCTTGAGCAGCTCCCGAGGAGAGGAGATGCTGCAGGTACCAGAGCAGACACTTCCCTGCAGCCCTGCAGAAGAACAGAGTGAGGTAGGTGTTGCCTCCATGTCTCAAATGCCTCCACCTGAGGGATTCAGCCCACGGAAAGGGACCTGGAGCAGTTCCTGAGGGACTCACACCCCTCCAACACATCTTCCCCAGGAGCTTTCTCATCAGGTTTTCTCTTGCTGTCTCTCTCTGAAGTGTGAGTGATGGAGCAGCCTGGGGGAGCACCTGGGGTCAGCCAAGGTCGCCCATCCCAACCCTCCCCCACTTTTGGAATCCTAGGCTGGTTTGGGTTGGAAGGGACTTCAAAGGTCATCTCGATCCACCCTCTGCCGTGGGCAGGGGCAGCTTCCACTCTCCCAGGTTGCTCCAAGCCCCATCCAACCTGGCCCTGGAGACTGCCAGGGATGGAGCAGCTGCAGCTTCTCTGGACAGCCTGTGCCAGGGTCTCACCACCCTCACGGGGAGGAATTTCTCCCCAGTGTCCCATCTAACCCTGCCCTCTGGCAGGTGAAAACCCTCAGCCTCCATCCTGTCCCCTGACAAAGACCCTCCCCAGCTCTCCTGGAGGCCCCTTTCTATATAATATTTTATATCTCTATTAGATTTATACCTACATACATATCAGCCCAAAAAGTGGCTCAGGCAGTCCATGCCTAGTTGTGGCCACCTGGAGTAGCCCCTTTTGGGGGTGCGGGGCAGTGGGCAGATCTATGGGTTATTTTAGAGAGCCTCAGGAGGTTTGGGAGGGTCCTGAGGGCTTACAGGGTGTTCGGGGGGGGAGATCTATGAAGCATTTTGAGGGGACTCTAAGGGTACTTGGGATCTACTGGGGACTCTGTAGGGGATGGAGGGGGTCTCTGGGGTTTTGGGGGGAGCTACAGGAGTGTATTCTCCAGGTCCCCAAAGTCCTCTCAACCTCTTCTTCATCTGAGAGGATTTATCTGCACCTGTCAGGGAAGTTCACCACACAGACTCTGTTACTCTGTTCCTGATTCCCATGAAATTTGGATGTGTGCAACATGCAGGAATGTTTTTCCTGCAATTTCCCTGGCCCCAAGAGGGACCACGGGAGTGGCACGAAAAAGCGGGGGGGCTTGTCCATCCCCCACATCGGCAATTGCAGTTTTGATTCAAATTTTAATTAAAGCCTGAACTGTTGCTGATACTGCGTCAGGGTCTGGGTCTCTCCCTACATTGTCGTCATCGCGCCAATTCCCAGGAGACACTCGAGGGGCGCTTGGAGGCCAGGTGGGGGTGCTTGCGGGATCATTCAAGGGTCTGGAGGGGCACTTAGGGGTCGGGGAGGCAGGTGGGGAGCACCTGGGGGTCCGAGGAGACACAGAGGGGGCATTTTGGGGGAAAGTAGGGGACGGGGCGGGCGGACTGCGGGACCCTGAGGGGCACTGGAAGGTCAGGAGAGGGAAACTGGGGTACTTACGGGACCCCGGGGGGCACTTAGGGTTCGGGGAAGCACTTGGGGAGCAGCCGGGACGATCCTCAGGGGACAGCCCCGGCTCTGAGGGGACTCCCACGGGCCGCGCGGCATGACGGGAACCGCAGTCCCGGCTCTATCGGCGTCCCACGGCGCCCCGCGGCCTTTCGGGAGTTGTAGTCCAGGAAGTGAGTAAAGTGCCGCGGAACCAGCGGCCAATGGGAGGCGGGGCAGGAGGGATTTTTGGGGGCTCAGGGGGAGCTTCTGACGCCCCCCATGACCCCCCCCCCCATCGCCCTGAGGGGCGGGGGGACACCAGACCCCGCCGGTGCCGCGTCGGCCGTGTGAAGGTGAGGAAGCCAGGTGAGCCCCGCTCCCACGGGTTTGGGGGCTCCCCGCCCCGATATGCCCAATAAACCCCCAGGCGCCCCTACAGACTTCCTTGTCCCCACAGACCCCCTCCAACGCTGTCCTGGGCCCCCAAAACATCCCACAGATCCCCGGACCGTTAAAGACCATCCAAAGCCCAAGGGTCCCCCCAAACCCCTTCCTGGACCCCCAATATCTTTCCCCAACGCTCCTAGAGTCTCCCCCCAAAATCCCATGGATCTCTTCTAGATGCTCTATAGACACGCAGTGCCCTCCCAAACACTCCCGACTTCCAGCGCTTTGGGTACACGTCCCAAATCCCTTCCTCAGCCTCAGAGCCCCTCCAAACACCCCAAAGACCCTCAAGGAACCCCTAGAGACACCCAGTGCCAAACCAACAGCCACTTTTGAGCTCCCAGAAGCCCCCAAATGCTCTTGGGGACATTTGGAGGGAGAGGGGGCAATCCCAAAGGAGGGAGAGGTAAGGGAGGGAGTTTTGGGGGTGTCCCCACCTCCCTGGTGCAATTTTAGGGTGTCATCGCTTCATTGGCCCCACCATGGGCTGGGGGTGCCCAGGTGGGCATTCCAAGAGGGTCTTGATAGCCCTAGGGGGACGAAGGGAGAGTAAATGGGCAGTTAGGGGGACCTGAGGGAGGTGCAAGGGCAGGCCCCTGAAATTTGGAGGTGGGGATGTCCTACCAAAGGCATCCCCTTACGGCCTGGCGGTGGCATCGCAGCATCCAGAGGAGGGGATCCCCAAGAGGGCCTGGGAGGGCTGCATGTCACAGGGGTGGCAGTCCCACAAGTGTTCTCCCAGCCCCCCAAGGGACTTCCTGATCCAAAAGTGTCTCCCCAAGCCACAAGTGCCCCCTCAGCCCCTCAAGTGACCCCTGACCCACAACCGCTCCCTCACCCCACGAGTGACCGCCCTGGCCCACAAATGACCACCTTAGCCCACAGGGGCACCTCTAGCCCCACCAGTGACCCACTGGCCCAAAAGGGCATGTCCAGGCCCACCAGTGACCCCTCTGACCCACAAAGGTGCCTCATGACCCTCAATAGCCCCCAGCCTTCGAGTGACTCCCTGGCCGACAAGTGACCCCCGTGACCCTCAAGCGCTCCTCCGGTGCCTCACCCAGTGCTGACGTGAGGAGACTGTGCCAGGACATTTTCTTGGTTGATCTCCAGAGGCCCTTCCAACCCCAACTATTATTTCACTGCCCAAAACACAGGCAAGAGCCTCAGCAACCACATTTTGGGTAGTCTTCCTCAGCTTCTAAAATTTCCTGATCCTTTTCCTTTGCCATTTCAGAATCCTCACTTAAAGAAAAATTAGATGTCAAGACCTGCTGGATGTCCCCAAATTCCCTCCCCAAACCCTGCAGCAGCAGGGAGACCCCGCCATGTCTGAGTGAAAATATTTTATTTTTCATAAAAAACATATGAAAAATGCTGATTTTATCTCTAAACCATTTAGGTCTTGCCTGCCACACCTCATATCATTCCAGAACAGGGGATTTATAAACCTTAAAATCCTTGAGAAAAATAACATTCACAGTTTAATTTAGTTTTGGTGCAGTCAAGACTCTGGTCATGTGGGATTTGGTGATGTTCACTGGGAATAGCCCAACAAAGGAAAATTATGAACAAGGGAAGGGCAAATTCCGCACAAGTTAAAGTCTTGAGAGCAAAGTATCTGCCTTGCAGATGTGCTGCAAGGGAGATTAGTAAGTAGCATCATCCTAATCTCTTTATTTATAAAGGGTGAAACACTGACCTCTTGTGTAACAGAGCCCAGACAAATTATGGAAAGTAAAATATTTTAAAGCAGCAAATCCATGTTCCAGAGAATTCCCTGACACAGGTGTAAATCAACAATTTATTCTTAAATTCACTTTCCGGTTCAACCAAACCCACCTAATATCCCGTTTGAGTTCACCTGACACCAGCTAGAGCTTGGGAAATGTTTCTTGCTCTGCTGATGTCTCCTTTGGCCCCCAGGGCCCTTTCACTGCTGTTATCCTTCCTCCTTGAGCAGCTCCCGAGGAGAGGAGATGCTGCAGGTACCAGAGCAGACACTTCCCTGCAGCCCTGCAGAAGAACAGAGTGAGGTAGGTGTTGCCTCCATGTCTCAAATGCCTCCACCTGAGGGATTCAGCCCACGGAAAGGGACCTGGAGCAGTTCCTGAGGGACTCACACCCCTCCAACACATCTTCCCCAGGAGCTTTCTCATCAGGTTTTCTCTTGCTGTCTCTCTCTGAAGTGTGAGTGATGGAGCAGCCTGGGGGAGCACCTGGGGTCAGCCAAGGTCGCCCATCCCAACCCTCCCCCACTTTTGGAATCCTAGGCTGGTTTGGGTTGGAAGGGACTTCAAAGGTCATCTCGATCCACCCTCTGCCGTGGGCAGGGGCAGCTTCCACTCTCCCAGGTTGCTCCAAGCCCCATCCAACCTGGCCCTGGAGACTGCCAGGGATGGAGCAGCTGCAGCTTCTCTGGACAGCCTGTGCCAGGGTCTCACCACCCTCACGGGGAGGAATTTCTCCCCAGTGTCCCATCTAACCCTGCCCTCTGGCAGGTGAAAACCCTCAGCCTCCATCCTGTCCCCTGACAAAGACCCTCCCCAGCTCTCCTGGAGGCCCCTTTCTATATAATATTTTATATCTCTATTAGATTTATACCTACATACATATCAGCCCAAAAAGTGGCTCAGGCAGTCCATGCCTAGTTGTGGCCACCTGGAGTAGCCCCTTTTGGAGGTGCGGGGGAGTGGGCAGATCTATGGGTTATTTTAGAGAGCCTCAGGAGGTTTGGGAGGGTCCTGAGGGCTTACAGGGTGTTCGGGGGGGGAGATCTATGAAGCATTTTGAGGGGACTCTAAGGGTACTTGGGATCTACTGGGGACTCTGTAGGGGATGGAGGGGGTCTCTGGGGTTTTGGGGGGAGCCACAGGAGTGTATTCTCCAGGTCCCCAAAGTCCTCTCAACCTCTTCTTTATCTGAGAGGATTTATCTGCACCTGTCAGGGAAGTTCACCACACAGACTCTGTTACTCTGTTCCTGATTCCCATGAAATTTGGATGTGTGCAACATGCAGGAATGTTTTTCCTGCAATTTCCCTGGCCCCAAGAGGGACCACGGGAGTGGCACGAAAAAGCGGGGGGGCTTGTCCATCCCCCACATCGGCAATTGCAGTTTTGATTCAAATTTTAATTAAAGCCTGAACTGTTGCTGATACTGCGTCAGGGTCTGGGTCTCTCCCTACATTGTCGTCATCGCGCCAATTCCCAGGAGACACTCGAGGGGCGCTTGGAGGCCAGGTGGGGGTGCTTGCGGGATCATTCAAGGGCCTGGAGGGGCACTTAGGGGTCGGGAAGGCAGGTGGGGAGCACCTGGGGGTCCGAGGAGACACAGAGGGGGCATTTTGGGGGAAAGTAGGGGACGGGGGGCGTGCGGACTGCGGGACCCCGAGGGGCACTGGAGGGTCAGGAGAGGGAAACTGGGGTACTTACGGGACCCCGGGGGGCACTTAGGGTTCGGGGAAGCACTTGGGGAGCAGCCGGGACGATCCTCAGGGGACAGCCCCGGCTCTGAGGGGACTCCCACGGGCCGCGCGGCATGACGGGAACCGCAGTCCCGGCTCTATCGGCGTCCCACGGCGCCCCGCGGCCTTTCGGGAGTTGTAGTCCAGGAAGTGAGTAAAGTGCCGCGGAACCAGCGGCCAATGGGAGGCGGGGCAGGAGGGATTTTTGGGGGCTCAGGGGGAGCTTCTGACGCCCCCCATGGCCCTGAGGGGCGGAGGGACACCAGAACCCGCCGGTGCCACGTCGGCCGTGTGAAGGTGAGGAAGACAGGTGAGCCCCGCTCCCACGGGTTTGGGGGCTCCCCGCCCCGATATGCCCAATAAACCCCCAGGCGCCCCTACAGACTTCCTTGTCCCCACAGACCCCCTCCAACGCTGTCCTGGGCCCCCAAAACATCCCACAGATCCCCGGACCGTTAAAGACCATCCAAAGCCCAAGGGTCCCCCCAAACCCCTTCCTGGACCCCCAATATCTTTCCCCAACGCTCCTAGAGTCTCCCCCCAAAATCCCATGGATCTCTTCTAGATGCTCTATAGACACGCAGTGCCCTCCCAAACACTCCCGACTTCCAGCGCTTTGGGTACACGTCCCAAATCCCTTCCTCAGCCTCAGAGCCCCTCCAAACACCCCGCTGACCCTCATGGAGCCCGTACAGACACCCAGCACCTCACCAATGCTCTTCTGAGCCCCCGAACCCCCCAAATGCTCTTGGGGACATGTGGGGGGAGAGGGCATTGCAGGCAATCCCAAAGGTGGGGGAGGTAAGGGAGGGAGTTTTGGGGGGTCTCCCCACCTCCCCGGTGCCATTTTGGGATGTCATTGCTTTATTGGCCCCACCAAGGGTTGGGGGTGGCCAGGTGGGCGTTCCAGGAGGGTCTCGATGGCCCTGAGGGGGGGAAGGGAGAGCAAATGGGGAGTTAGGGGGAGCTGCGGGAGGCGCAAGGGCAGGCCCCTGAAATTTGGGTGCGGGGATGTCATACCGAAGGCGTTCCCTTAGGGCCCGGCGGTGGCATCGCAGCATCCAGAGGAGGGGATCCCCAAGAGGGCCTGGGAGGGCTGCATGTCACAGGGGTGGCAGTCCCACAAGTGTTCTCCCAGCCCCCCAAGGGACTTCCTGATCCAAAAGTGTCTCCCCAAGCCACAAGTGCCCCCTCAGCCCCTCAAGTGACCCCTGACCCACAACCGCTCCCTCACCCCACGAGTGACCGCCCTGGCCCACAAATGACCACCTTAGCCCACAGGGGCACCTCTAGCCCCACCAGTGACCCACTGGCCCAAAAGGGCATGTCCAGGCCCACCAGTGACCCCTCTGACCCACAAAGGTGCCTCATGACCCTCAATAGCCCCCAGCCTTCGAGTGACTCCCTGGCCGACAAGTGACCCCCGTGACCCTCAAGCGCTCCTCCGGTGCCTCACCCAGTGGCTGCTGCCATGGCGCCCCCTGATGGGCATCACGTGCGCTGCTCCTGATTGGCTGTGGGGCCTCACGGGGGTCACGTGACCTCAAGCCTGACCCTCCCTGGCACAGGGGCTCAGGAAGTGCCTCCCTTGCAGGCCGCAGGGCATCCTTTGAGTCACATGACTTCCAATATGGTGCACACCACAGAGCCCCACGGCAGTCATGTGACTCCCAAAACGTCTCCTGCAGCAAAGGCTCATGGGACTCTTGCTTCCCACAGGGTGGTGCTCCCTGGTGCAGAGGTGCACAGCAGCTACTGCTGATTTGCCTAGGGGCGTGGCGGGAGTCACGTGACTGTGAGTACAGCGCCTCCTGCAGGGTTTCCAGAGAGCTGCTCCTCATTGGCCGGAGGGTCGTGTGGGAGTCATGTGGCCTCCAACATGGATCCCGCCACGAGGGTTCCTGGGAGACAGCCTGGGGTGAAGGCGCCCCCTGGTGCCTGCAGAAGCGTCTCCCGATTGGCCATAGGGCCTCAGGCGGGTCACGTGACTCACAGGGCGCTGCCTCCTGCAGGGCCCCGGTGAAATCACATGACCTCCCCGATGGCAGTCCCTGCAGGGAACCCCGGGGAGCAGCAGCGCCCCCCAGGGCCCTGCCCACCGGGGGCGTGTCCAGCGCTGGCTCCTCCCCTCGGCACCGCCTCAAGCGCCATTGGACGAGGGGGTCATCGAGGGTGGAGCTGCAGGGGGCGGAGCCAAGCAGAGGCTTCGCCCTCTCCGGCGCGCGGGGGCGGGGCCTGAGCAGGGCCTGGCTGGTGGGGGAAGGAGAGGGTTGGGGAGGGGCGAGGACCCCCGAAATGCTGACCCTGCACTGACCCCGCGGGGCTGGTGGTTTTCGGAGGAATTTGAGGGGCTGCGGGACGCACTTATGGGCAGAATGGGGGGTCCGGGACGTCACCAGCCGGGATCGGGTGGGATAGCTGGGGGTCCCCGAGGTCCTCCTGGGGAACAGTGGGGCAAGGGAGGGAATTAGCAGACACTCAGGGGCCAGGGGCGGCATTTGGGGGTCTGGTTTTTTTTTTTGGTTTTTTTTTTTTTGGGTTTTTTTTTTTTTCAGCTAAGATTCTAATGATGTGTTTTAGTGTTTTTTCCAGGACAAAACCTCAAGATGTATATGCTGGAATTGTATTTTTTTTTCCAGGGGAAAAAGATCTGTTTTTAAAAGGGTTTTTTTAAATGGAAAAAAAAAGTCCTTTTATTTGCTCTTTTTAAATAAAAGCAGTTGCTTCTTAAGGAAAAAAAACCCCAAACCTTTTATTCCTTATTTTTCTGTCTTTTTTCTATTTTTAATTAAAAACTTTTATGAACCCAATTTTCAGGTATTGTTTTAAATAAAAAAATCCCTTTTTATTCCCTTAATATTTTCTTGTTTATTCTTTATTTTTGTTGTTGTTTAATTTTATTTTAAACATTTATTCATTAAGGAAAAAAGCCCTCTTGAACTCTGTTTTAAGTTTCAGGTATTTTTAAAGAAAAGAACCTTTGTTCTAATGCGTAAAATCCCAAATGCTCATTTCCCTCTTGATTTTTCTTCAAGATCTCACTTTTTTAAAAAAGCAACTCTTTTTCATGCATTATTTCAGACAGCCCCCTTTAATCCTATTTTTTTATTCACAGTCAAACCTCATTATTCCCTATTTTTCCCCCACAACACTCAAATTCCATTTTTCCAGGAAAAAATCACCAGAATTATTTTTTTTATCCATCATCGCATATTCCCTATTTTTTAAATTTAAAAAACCCCTTATGATGGTCTTTAATATACACACTGAGTTTCAATCCATTTTTATCTCATTTTCCTGCTTTTTCCCCCGACAATCTCAAGAATTCTTTTTTTTTTTTCCCCTTTGTATTAGGAGAAGATACCCACTCTTTTTAACCTGTTTTGGGGCAAAAAAAAGGACTATTTTGTTGTTTTATAGCATTGGGGGTCCCTGGAGGGGTTTGGGGCTCAGGGGGCACTGAGAGATGCCTCAGGATTTCTGGGGGTCACTGGGATGGTTTTGAGGGTCTCAGAGAGGTTATTTGGGATGCCCAGGGAAAGGTTTGGGGTGGAGGGAGGCTGGTGTGGTTCTGGGCGTCCTGGAAGGGACTTGGCGGTCCGGGAGGGTCAGGGGGCCCCCAAATGGTTTGGGAGGCCCTCGGGGTGGGTAAAGTGGCAGAGAGCTGGGATCCCGCTGACAGAGACCCCCGGTCTCCCCCGTGGACCCCCCAAATCTCCCCAGGAACTCCAGACCCTCCCAAATTCCGACAGGACTCTCTCAGCTCCCCTTCGGTCCGTAAGCTCGTCCAAGGGAATGATAGCAAAATTGGCTGGCAAATAAACTTTCTAACACAATTTGAAGCATTGGAAAGCAGGCGTTCTCTATCTGCACGGGACACACTGAAGGATTTCTCCTTTAATCTGATGTGTGCGGTGAAACTTTGCTGCAGGCTATGGTCCTGGAGGGACCACAAACAGGTCTTTGGTGGTCACATTCACTCAGTGCTTCCATAGTAGACGTGACCTTTCCTTGAACGTTTTCCTTGAGCATGTCAAGTCACATAACTTGACAAAAACCCCACTACATTCCTCATTACCTGTGTGTCCACTGGCTCCAGCTGTGCTTGTG